TGCTGCTACTACTCCTACTCCTACTCCTACTCCTACTCCTACTCCTACTCCTACTCCTACTCCTACTCCTACTCCTACTACTCCTACTACTACTACTACTACTACTACTACTACTACTACTTCTACAACTAGTGCTACAACACCCTACTGCCTACCATCTACGACCCACCACCTGCTAACTGCCACCTACCCTACCGCCTACCGCCTACTTACCTAATTACTGCTACTGCCGCTGCTGCTGCTGCTACTAACACTACTATTCCCAAAGACGTTGAACCCTCCACGAGGTGCCTTAAGGGCGAGACGGGCGTGCTCTCGGATGGCACTCAGGGCAAGCACTGAGCCACCACCAGGCGCACAGACGTTTTCCCCATGCTGCGGGATAGTCATGGCTTGGGGAGTTAACTGCCTTAGGCACTCGGCTGCAAATCTCGGGTGTCTGGATTTCAGAAACTAGCAGGTTAGAAGCAGGTATGTTGTTGGCCGCAGGTCTCTCAAGAGTAGGGCCATGTAACTCAATCCGCATTTCACATCCCTACGTGGCATCCGAGCCTTGCAAGCTTTCCAAGCTCCACCACTGTAGAGAAGCCTGCTACCTGGGAGCCCCAAGAGCATCGACCTTGCGCAGGTTTCGGAACCTCCGCCGGTGAGGCGGCAAATGATTTCTATCGAAGCTCTCGGTCAGTCAGTGCCAACCTGCACCTGTGACAGATCCCAGTATGATCGTACTCGAAATCTGAGTCGTCGTCGGCGGTAGTAGCAGTGGTGGCAGTAGTAACAGCCAGCAGCAGCAGCAGCAGCAAAAGTGGCAGGCGTCATAGACAGTTGAAAACTGTGGTCGTAGTCGTTGTACAAGTAGAAGTAGCAGAAGCAGCAGTGGCAGTAGCAGCAGCAGCAGAAGCAGCACCAGCAGCAGCAAGTAGCAGTGCAGTAGTTGTTGTCGTCGTCGTTGTCGTGACGGTCGCCATTGTCGTGGTGGTTGTCAGCATCCGGACACGCAATGGTTGGCGGATGTCAGATTGAGGGCATGAAGTGACGGGAGTTTAGGACGGGGTCTTCAGTCACGTATGCCGACCCAGTTCAAGATGAAATGATCAACAGACTAACAGTCTAGGGTCGCAAACCGAGACTGACCGCGAGATTTTTACTCTTTTCACAGGAAATTCACACTCCTACTGGAGCTTTACATTTGGGTTGGTGACAGCAGGCTGGCCATCACATCAATCGGTAAATGAGCGAGTCTATAGCAGGGACTTAGTCTAGGGAGCACTAAGAGCAATCATGAGGTTTAGAGTTGCAAACGTAATGGATGGTGATTGTGGCTGCAGGCATGCGAGCTTGGACATGTCAGGGGTGATTCCTTCTGTCCGATCACTATTGCGGTCGTGATCAAGCAGGATGACGATGTGTAGAGGCCCAGAGGAACAGGAGAAGGAGGAGGAGGGGGAGGAGGAGGATGGCAGCAACAATCTAAAACAGTCATGTTGCTAGAACTGTAATCTGTTTTCTGTACTATGTTCAGTGCTGTTGTTGCGTTTACCATTTTTGTGGTGCATTAATTTCAGCACAAGTATTATTAGAGATGATTAAATACCATGACAAGTTGCTGTTATCATCAGGGCGCAGCCTGCTTTTTGCGGCCCGGTCTCTTGTAAGGTCTGCTGTAGCGTCGCCCATCTGGACACCGAGAGACTGCAAAAAGAGGTCTACGAGTGTAGGTCTTCGAAATGTCACTCCGTAGCTGCTTGTTTCTGCATCGGGTTTGTTGAGTTCCATCCCGGAGACTCAATCATTTAAAAGTAGTCCATGGGCCGAAACATATTTATAACTCAAGCTTCGAAGCATCGTAATATCGTTCAGACTTTGCAAAGCCCGCAGGGCTGGGAAAGGTAATGCTTTGTCCGGTCGCCTCTCAAATCCAGTCTCGAGGAATGGGCACTTCAGCGTCCACCGTGATATTCAAGATAGGTTTCTTCAGCATCTTCGAGAGTTTTCCCAGAGAATCTTGTGCGAATCGTCCAGCGCGGACAAAAAGCGACTGTTGAGGTGTGCACAGCTCGATCTCGAAGCGGTTTAACCTTCTGCAACAACTGTCCGGCGCGATCCTCGTCGCAGTCTTTTTTAAGAACGTCATGAGCAATGCGCAGCATTTGGCTTCATTAGCTTTTATACCCCTGCTTGGCAACAGCTTGCCCGACGTCGCTTTGTGGCTTGACTTCGTAGGGTTTGCACGGTTCCGGCCCGGCTTGAGATAGAGCTTTCAGGATTTGGAATTACGAGCTTCGGGATTCAGGAAGTTTGAGCTCCCAACCTCCACAAGGAGGTTGGGAGCACTGCTCAAGGCTTTGAGCGCGAGCCGACCAGAGCAATCTGGGAATCCTGTAAGAGATCGGCACGAGACTCAACACACCGAGCTCCGAATCTCCCGAACCGCGAACCCAACATGTAAGACCACATAAAAGAATGCGACCTACCCGGCCAACAATTCGTGCATTGGACTACTGAACTCGCCCGCTCTTGCTGGATCGCTGTCCCAGGCGCCATGCCATCCACTCGCCAGCGTAACACTGCCACTAGATCGCAAAGTAGACCATTGAGGCAGAGTGGCAAGCTTTCATTGCTTACGAAACTTTCAGCTGAAGGATCTACCCCAGGTCCTGCATAGTCTATAAGATGACGTAGCCAGCAAGTGTGAAAGGGAAGCCTTGTGGATTGGTGCGTGGCTGAGTTCAACCTTTGTCTTATCTTGTTTGAAAGTTAACCGTGCTTATCGCCTCTCAGCCTCTCAGGGGTTCTGCAAACTTCATGTATATGTTACAACGGCTATGGCACCAAAGACACTTCCCCAAAAAATGCTGGGATGGAGAATACATTATTCTGTTGCGAAGGATAATGTCTTGCAGGTCCTCGCGGCCGCTGCTACCGCCTCTGCCGGTGCGTTGACTTTCGCGCTTCGTCAGCACTGCACTGTTATGCCGTCGCACGTAGTACCTCTGGTCCTGAGACTCTTTGAGACGGATAACAGAGAGCAGTGACAAAGCGAGGGGCTCTGCTTCTACAGGATTCGGCATCAGCCCCGACTCCCAGTCTCTGAACTCCAAATCCCGGAACAAGGCGTAAGCCAGCACCCTAGCCCTGGTCAAACAATGATTTTCTAGCAGGGAACTCGCATGGCGCTCGTTAGTACTACCCGGCCCTTTAGCTCCAGCCGAGGTGGCGCCGCCTAGCACCGGGAACGCGGCACGCGTGGAGCCAGGTGGGTAGTCCAAAGACTAATGGGAGGAACGATTACCGATGAAGTTTGATCTAACAGGACCTAGGCGTAGGTTATCTCGCCCTGTCCCATAATATCAGTCTTTGTGCTTGTCTTCTCACGTATCGTGCATGAAATCTGGCCACTTAGTTGGTCTGGCATTGGAATTCGCTGGGCATCGCCACATGGGCTCGGTCTGTTGCAGAGGTCATACTGCTTCCCAAAAGCAACTCAAACGTCGTCTTGTTGTTTATCCGAAGTCCGTTCAAACACTCCGAGATAGCCGGGTTCAACACGCACGCTGGAAGTCAACAGGAAAGAACTCTGTCATGCTGTCCTTGCACCACTATATGTGGTCCGTTAGCATTCATGCATTCATGTCTTGTCCCCACTGGCTGCGGGATTGTCGAAATCTTGGCCAAAAATCATCCACGATGTTGAAGAGGGGGGTGCGGGTTGATTATACTGATGACTGCTGTCGCATGTCGGAAAGCAGGTGTTCCAAGATTTCTTCCATCCGCCGTGACAGTACGTCATACTTGCCTCTTTGGAGCCCTCTGCCCTCAACGAAGCAACACTACTTCCGGAAGTAAAGGCAATCCCACTTGGAGGTGTGGCATCCAGCCATGCTGCTGCTGCCCAGCCCCAGACCTCCATGGGCGCTACCACGGTGGGCGCTGCGCTGCTGGCTGCAGGTTGCGCTGCGCGGATGACGCCCAAGGGAAAGGCATGCTTGGGCCTTCGTGTTTGGATTTTCGGGTGATCACACAAACTTCTACTGGAGAATCTGAGACGCAGGCAGTGCAACGAAATCGCCACACAGAGTATATGCCGGCTGAGGAATCGGAAGCATTACAACATCATTCTGAATCATTCTGTCGTTAGCATGGGATCTCGTTATGCTGTCATGTTGAACCAGACTGCATCTTGGTGTATGGTCAACACTTTGGATTGCGCCTTTGGTGTCTCTGCAGGGACAGCGAAAGGCGGTGAAGCTTGCGGCAGTGAGCACCGACACCGATGTAGCTTTGTCGGCAGAGTAGAAGGGGACACAGAAATAATGAGAAACAAGTTGAAGATCTTGAGGGGCTGGGAGTTCGAATTCAAGGCTGAGTGCCATGGCTTCGGGCACAGACGGCCGCAGGAGAGAGGGCCCCATCGCTGCCGTAGGTATCCTTTTTCTGGGGCTCCTGCTCAAGCCCCTGCCTTAATCCCGGTGTAGGAAGGCTCAGGAATTGGCTGGAATTTCACAAAGCCCTAAATGTGCAACAGAGGCATCCCTAGTGAGTGCGAGTTTCCGCGAATTAGCATCTGGCTGTTGACCAGAGCTTCTCTGCTGGTGATGTTTCAGGTGCTTGCTTACATGGTCATATTGGTATGTCTTTTCACCCGAGATGCTAGGTGGTATCCTTCTACTTCAATGCTGCTAATGTGTATTTCACTGTACCTTGATGGTGTGTGGCACTGCTCATGCAATGTTCGACCAAGAAAATTTTTGGAGGTGTCGTCATTGACAAAGATGGGAGCACTCGGCTGGTTGTTGCTATATAACCTGTCAATAAGATTTGTATTAGAACTGTTCTTTGTGTAGTCGACGCCCCAGCTGAAGCCTGCAAGGTGGAAACCGACTGCATCAACTCCATTCGCTTTTTGGCGGTAGATGCGGTGAACAAGGCGTGTGCACTTTTTCCCGAGAGAGCGCTCCGCGTTTGGACCAGGGTGAAAGTCTGTCAACTGAGACTGCACCTAAAATCAGCTGCCAAGATTGTAGTTGCGTCTCTGTCCTTCTTTGGCACATCTTCGCAGCGCAGGAAGCCCTAAACTCCCAACAAAACTGAAGCGATGGCGAGCCTGCCCAAAGGCCAGAGTTAACACCTGCGGCGAACTGCGAAACCCACAAGAACAAGACCTTAAGCCTATACCCACAACCATGATGTACAATCGAAAGAGCCTATGTTTATGTCATACAGTCAGTACGGTTGCTACTCGTGACCATGGTCATGGCCATCAAACTACAAACTGCGAGGATAAGCCTCATTATTGCTAGTATAAGAAGAATACTCATGTCATTGTGGTCATTGTTATCACTACCGTACATGCCACTATCATGAGCCCTATCATGTCTCTTGTTGCTAACACTGTCATGACTGCCATGCACCCTTTCAGAGCGGGCAAGGCCAACTCGGGCCACCCCGGCGCACCCATGGGGCAGGCACCGATCGGCAACCTGGCCAGGAGCACACTGGGATCCGAGGCTCCAATTCCATCTTCAGAAGAGATAGCGTACTACATTGCTTTCTTTCAACATGCACCGGGCCTTGAGCTCCAATTTTCTACCAAGCGGTCCAGTTGGAGAAGGAAGAAGCTCAACCCTGTTGACGTCATGGATCCGAAGCATCCATGAGCAGTCTCCGCAGATCGGGCTAGAACGTGATTTGCTTGAAGTTTGTCCGTTGTTCCGATTGTTGTTTGAGGAAAGACAGCGCATCTGCAAAACCCAGCTAAACCCGGAGGCTTTGGTGTTTAGGTATATATTGATATACTCCACAGCGAGTATCATAGCGCAGTCTGTGTCGCAAAATTTACGTACAGCCGATGTTTACCTTGTACACAGCAAGCCGCCAGGCACTTTACAAATGCCATCATCACAACTTCGAAGTGACGTATGTGAGAAGCCAAGGCTACCTCCTGTTCGCGGAAGAGATGGCGTACAACCCCAAGGACCAGCACTGGTCACTCGTGCGGTTGCTTTGAATCTTGTGCTCGGACTCGGGAATTAGCCGAACTGCTGGACTACTGTCGGCCCTTCAGCGCGTGAGACTGCCTGCGTTTGGTACTCAAATTGGCTACTGAAGATTGAATGATTGACCCAGTGCAGCTATGACTTCATTCTCAGCAGCGGGGGACTGCTCAAGATTCGGCTGAGGGTGGCTCTTGGCACAAGTGTTGTCCTCCGCTGTTGCTGCCGAGAACGGCAACCGTCTCGGTCGCTGCGCAGGGGCGGGGTTCTCGTGCCACTTGCACAGGATGAGGATTTCGATTCAGGTTTTGAAGCATCTGCTACTATTCCTCTCCAGGCTTCGGTGCTGTGTAAGGACGGAGCCGTCGTGGACTCGATAAACACTTAGTCATGTGTGGACGCAGCAGGACCCTTCCTGGTGCAATCGTGACCGCTTTGTGCTCTCGTCGGGCCACGGCTGTATGCTGCAGCATCTCGGCCTTGGCTTGTCGTCTCTTTCCGATGGGTAAGACGAAGCTCCAGTCACATAAGGTCGAGTCTATAAGCAAGCATTGCAAAATTGCGCTCCGCTAAAGAGGATAATGAGGGTTCCCCTTCCGCCACACCTCTCCGTGTTATGCACGACGTGATTTGGGGTCGGAAGATTGTGCAGGCTCAACTCATCTTGGGGTTCAGAGCTCCGCATGTAGGTTTCTGTCCACTGTACCCTGGACTTTGCAGCTGTCACGTCTGCCTCAGGTACTCCCTGCTGCACCTCGCCGGATACGACAGCGTGGCGATGGATGACCTGAAGCAGTTCAGGCCCATGAATCCTTGAACTCTGAGATGTTCCACTCGACACCATGCAGCGTAAACCGAGTGCTCCAGGCAGTGGGGCTCCAAGACCCCCGGCCACCCGGAGAACTTCGCATCTTTGCTGCCTTTTTCGACACAGATCAGGGGTGTTCGGCTGGGGTTTCGCGGTCCTTTCAACCAATGATGTGCAGATTCCCACTATTTGCACTCCGTTGTCGCTGACTCTGACTACTTCACATGATCCGCCTTTTTCGCTTCCCCACCGCGTTTCCTGCGGAGTTTTCGCACTGTCTTCGGTGGCATATCGAAGTAGGGAGATGCAGCTGCGTGTTTCTTGCTCGCACGCGAAAGGCTGGATGTAGAAGGGCTGAAAGTCTCAATGATATGCAGGCCAGACTCTTTGCAAGGGAAGCATACCCTCGACAACCCGCATCACCAAGACTGTTCTGGTCGCCTAAGGAGACGGATGGCATTGAGGTCACCACTGGCCCGCTTGGAAACTCGGCATTCAAGCAAGCTTATCGAGGTAGAGAGCAAAACCGAGTCTAGCCGAAAAGCAACTCGCCAGAATTCGCCAGGATTGTAATTTCAAGCACGGGCAGAGTATTATTTATGAGCCGTGTGATCGTGCACCTTCAATATGATGCATACACGTACTAGACACTCACACAAACACAAACACAAACACAAGCACGCACACACACACACACACACACACACACACACACGCACGAAGCTAGGCGTTGTTGCCTTATGCGAGCCTCATTTTGGAGTTTCTGCGTGTTTATTATGATAACGTTCAGGTATGGGCATCTCCAATGCTGTTGGCCTGGCTGCCGCAGAGGCTCACATGGCGGCCACGTACAACAAGCACCTGGTATGCAAGAGCTGTAAAGCCGAAGGTTGATTCTTCTTTTTCCTGAAAGCGCGGCGAATCAGCGGAGGGTTTTTCCATAGATGTGGTTTGGATGGCATGTTGGGGCGTCGTTGTCTCTTCGGCCGTGAGGTTGCATGGCATGATGTGATTTCGAGAGGTCGGCCTTTTTTTTTTTTTGCTAGTGCCCTGCGC